TGGTGTAGAAAGAGTCAATACTTTTTAAGTAATGCGAAATAATGTGAAATACCCAAGAACTGACGAAACATTTGGGGGGTGGTTTGGCCCCTACGTGTCATGCGTCTTACACCAAAGGGATCCCGTCGATCAGGAGAAAAATTAAACGAACTTCCAGAAATGGCAATGCGAACGGTAATTATCAAACCATTGCTCTTTATCTAATTCACATCTATTAATTAATGTTAATTTAAATTGTTCTTATGGGACTGCAGAGGGAGCTTAACACGTAATCCAAAGACTTTCTATCAAAGGTTAAGAATAAATGCGAAAATGAAAGAAAAATCATCCAATCATTTACCCTTTTTAATTTTGCTCTTCATTAATATAATGTGAATGCCACGATAATTTGTTTTATATGGAGCTATTAATATTTCTTATTTTCAACTAAGTGTGAACCATTGAGCGCAATCGTGTGAAAAAAGGTTTTTCACCATAACTAGCATTTGTCCTTTTCCCAAATGCAAGAAAAAGGGAGAGCGAATTTTATTGCCGTGTAGACGATACATATCCCTTCAATCTTTTACATGTACCTCCGAGCTGATAAAGAACGGACAATACTTGACAATTAGACTGCGAACCTGAGAATCCTATGAGCGAATAGTTAAACAGATGTAGCATTTTGATTGGTTGTTACTTATGATCTATTGTAGATCGGACGCATAGATGACGTCATTGACATTTCTTGTATTATTACTTCGTTATTATATAATACAAGTAGATTCCATATTGCTGTTCGTTTTTTTCAGTAAGAGAACGGAAGAAGTCAGAATACAGTAAGGTCATCAGTGACACACCCGGCTATCACCTCGTGTGCCACGTTTTTGTTCTTACCACGTTTTGACGTCATCTGTGATCTATCACTCGACAGACGCACGGCAACATGAAATTTATTTGTTAAATAGAAAACAATGAGAGGACCGATCAGATTCGCGGATTTCCAATAGAACAGAGCAGAATGGCTATGACAAATATTTAAATTTTAAATGTACCATTTGAAAGCCATTTACACAGTACCTGATTCATAGTGGCGGAAGCGAAGCCCATGCCAAGCATAGCCGGTGTAAGAGCAATCCCACGTTTCCTCCAACGGCTTTTCCTTCAATAGAAGCCATTAAACAAAGGTCACCAAACAAAATAGAAACACAAGAAAGCTAATTGGTCAGCAATCAGCTGCTTTTCTATTCAGTTGAGTGTCTGGAGTACGGACGTTATCAAGAAAACTGACCACACTGTCTTACGATCCAATAGGAAAACTGGAAATAATAGGATTTATTAACTCTGAAGAAGGATAGCATTTTATCACCGCGAGAATCACTGCTATTTTACAAAACTGGCTGTTGTTACGTTATCTACACCCAAATGGAGACATATTTCTATGAGCGCTAGGCCTGCACTCCACTCCCGTGTCGAGATGGCATTTTTCTGCTTTGTAAAACAACGGTCGTAAGTCAGCCTGCCGTGTTCACACGTTGCCCACCCGTTGAAGGAATCAACGCGTTTTCGTCGTTCTTCGTAATCGCATTTCTGCATCAGCTCGTTCCACACTCGCTGTAGGTGACACCTGGTCAGTTTCTGGTTTTAGTGAGTTAGGTCTCCTTCTTTGTAAAAATTCATTTCTCGAACCTGTTGATCAAATTGTAAAAATTGATTTAATATTAAACCTGTAATTATCAGGATGAACTTTCATTGTAAGAATTGTTACACGTTTAACTTGCGTCTAGCAAATTCATTATATGGCTTGTGTTTGTAGCCGATATAACGCGCGCTCTGATTGGCTAATTCTAGGACATTATTCTCTCGTAGTAATGTCCACGAGTCTGCGAAACCAAAACGAAACGTCTTTACGGGAAACTCTCAAACCTCCGACTCACCGTATCGACCTCACTATCGCTCGGTTAGTACGGCATTGGATCTCGGTCTGAGATTTCCCGTAAAGACCTCATTCCTGGGTAACAAGTAGTTATTAATATAAGATGCACCATTGTACAAGAAGATGTTAGATATACTAACGCCAAATCATCCTCAGAAAGCAACACATACCAGGAGTTCGGTCATTGCTAACCTGTCTTTGGGAAATACCACAGGTAACCGCAATCTCAGAGATCCAAGATTCAGCAACCAGCACGCTCTGCAAACAAGGTTGCTTTTTTAAGAAATAGAAAAAGTTCTCAGTTTTCGTATCGAGTTTTAGTATAAATCTACAGCCATTCTATCAGGAATGCCGTTCTCCATTGGTTACGCTACTCACCATCTAGCTATTCTATTGTAGATAGTGAGCAGCGTAGCAGTGTGCGCTTGCTAACAAAATAACGACCGCTTCTTTGCGTTTTTGGAGAGTCTGTGAAGAGGATTTAGATAAAGTTTTGAATGACTAGTAGATTTATACTTAAACAATTAGATTATTCACTAGACATTTCTGTGCGTGATAGAAATCTCGAGCTTGTTTTCTAATTATTAAATAGAAACACCGATGAAAGTTTAGGAGAGCGAGAAATCCTCTCGGGTACACGAGGCGTGAAAAACGGCGTTTCTTTTAGGGTATTTTCTGACATTTTTATGGTGCTTTGTTATTCCCCTTAATATTTAAAACAAATCCCTGTCTCATATGCCCCATTCTTCACCCGCTCCAGAGACGCCTAGATACGCTTGAAGCATTGCTGATAGGCTCTTTTTTTGTTCCATATTTCAACGTGAAAGCAGTAGCCAGTCAATTTCACCACGCAAAACTCTATAGAGCTATGTCACCAGTTATTTGGCCAAATCTCAAGCGTCTTAACGTAGTATATATATTACTTAAAATGATTCTTCTTTAGCTTTTTTTCTTCACCTGCGGAACACCAAACCCCCTGAAACCTGTGCACGGAGCGATATTTGTCTTACACAAGTAGCCAACCCCACGAATGTTTGGAATGAGGTAACAGTTTTCCATGTGACACAAGGATCTTTCCATAACCTGCAAAAGCAGATTACACGACAAGGTGAATAACACAACAACAAGAAGTCATTAGATGCCCTGCCTGCTCCATTGGAGCGGTTTTCACTTGACTGACGAAAGTTATTCGCATTTGCTTCGGTTTTGCATCACTACGTTTTGTGATTGGTTTAAAAAACCTCGCGCCATTTTCTCATCCAATCAGAAGTAAAACCAAAAACAATCGTCACTCGCGCGCTCGCGTTTTCCCGCGCTCTGCGTGAGCTACATGTATTTTCTTGAAGTTTTGTGGGGGGGGGGGGGAGGGAGGGGGTTAACAAGAAAACCAATTGGTTAATTTAGCTATCCAGTTTCAACGTTAATTTCAATATAGATAGAATCAGATTTATGTGCCTTTCCAAAGTGTAAAATTATATAATAAATGCATGAATGAGCAGGATAAAGAATGGCAAGCATATACCAGATTGGTTCTGTGCCTTTATTTCTCAGTGCCATAATATTTGTAATCTTTTTCCAATTTTGTTTCTTTTACTTTTTGCTTCTCCAAAATGATGGGTGACAGTAAAATGCTTACCATTTTAGATTCATCCAGTGAGCTCCCTGCATTGTTATACAGTGTTAAGTCTAAGGCTTTAATTTTTCCATTGTGCCAAAAGCCGACCTGAATAGGAGAAAATCATTGCAGCACACTGTTAATTAGATATTTTTTAGGGTTATAGGTCCGTTATTTATGTCCTAATTTCTTAATTAAGTTTCCTTTCAACGTCCATACATATGGGAAAACCACATCTGGTTGTATGTGGGAAGTTTGCACTGTTACCAAAAAATGATCACTGGTTCAAAATGACTATGTGTTGACAAAATCGCCTCCCATTGTAGTTACATCACCTAGCTCCTTCGAGTCTTCTGTAGTCAAATGTTTCATAACAGATAATTTTGACTTCCATTGGGAGCCAGCACATCAAACAAATTCTTGTGTCACAGATTGGAGAAATATGTTTGTTTACATCTTTGATGAATTTGAGAGGAAGTTATTGTCCTGTTAGATCATATTGCATTGTTATACTCGTGGCACGTGTCTTGGGTCAAAACTCACTACTCCCCAGGGCGAACAAAACTCACTAACTCCCAAGGGAAACAACAACTTGAACTTTCGACTCGCACGTGATCAGGTCGTGTACTTTGTGTGCCAGCCGGCGTCAAGCAAATACTCCTTTCGCAGTTATACTTAAACACTTAATGAGTGACCTCATGGGACTCGACTCGACCCTCAATGTTCCTCAAAAAACATTGAGGGTCGCCGGGAAACAAAACTCACTGTTTCCCTTTAAGCCAGCCATTCATTATCATCATCATCATCATCATCATCATTCTAACACCACGGGGGTTTGTGTGAGGCCGCACGCTAACTCTTTCCACCTTGCACGGTCTTTCGCCACATTTTCAATCTGCATCCACGAGGAAAAGCCAAGTCTCCGCCATTCACTCTCAACCGTTCAACGCCAGGTTGTCTTGGGTCTCCCTTTGGCGCAGCCATTAAGTGTTTATTATTGTTTAAAAAAAATACTGAGGCAACACAATTACCTTGTACTTGGCTAAATAAGGACTACGCATTCCAGTACTCTTCATGTCTTCATCTCTATCAAGCATGCATCGCACAGGCCTACCAGTCTTTCAATGGGAACATGACAAGCAATTATGAATGCCCTCTAAACGTTCCCCATTATCCATCTATATACACTGACCGGCATGTGGAAAGAGAGACCCTTAGAGTAGAGAGAGAGTATCTCGCCCAACAACGTAGGGCAATGGAACTCACACCTCGTTATCTGAGGTTTAAGACTCTAACCATTAGAGCAACGCACTTCAGCAACATGGAGACGCGGTGGCCTCATGGTTAGTGCGCTACCCTCCGGATCGAGTGCTCCGGGTTTGAGCCCTGGCCGGGGACATTGTGTTGTATTCTTGGGCGAGACACTTTACTCTCACAGTGTCTCTCTCTACCCAGGTGTGTAAATGGGTACCAGCGAATTTAATGCTGGGGGTAACCCTGCGATGGACAGCATCCCATCCAGGAGAAGTAGAAATACTCCTAGTCCCTTCATGCTACTGAAACGGGAATAGGCACCGGCCTGTTGAGCCACTTGGCTCGTATACATACTTTACCCTTACCTACCTACTTCAGCAACAAGCTTGAATAATATATATGTATTTTTTTGTTTTCACTTACAGTTTTCACTAAACAAGTACTTAAATTCCACTCACTTAGCAGCAGCCACTGCCACTGCATTCGTCAGGAAACAGTGCCGTGTCTCTTTTCCGCCAAAGGCGCCACCTACAAAAACAGAAATTACATCTTCTTAAGTTAGGGGTGCACCTTTTGACCTTTGAGGGTGCATGGTTCATTTGGAAAGAAATATCCTACAAGCATACTTGTACAGGAGCCGGGCTTCTGACTTGTACCTAAAAACATCATGCACACGACCACTACCCAAAAAAAAATTCACGCACGTTCAGGGAGCCTATAAAAAGCATGTTACACGGAGAAAAACATTGTCATGAATACACACGTCCTGAGAAAAATTTCTTGTGCATGAAAAAGTTTGAAAAATCATAATTATAAGAACGCACACACCCCCCCCCCCTCTCACCCGCCTCAAGAATCAAGAGCTCCACCTCTGAATGCAGAAGGTAATTGTGTGTTTGCTTTGATTTTTGCGTTTGACGGAAATGATACAAGGTAAAATCTTATAAGGAAGGACATGAGGCAGAGGTTCCGGAAAACGCATCAAAATACACACTACCGTTTTCGCAGCGTTTTCACCGTCCACACCCAAGCCAATGAAACGAGTCCAAAACGCTGATACACTATGAGAAAACTACACAAACGTCATTTACGCGTGCACACGCGAATGATGTCGTTGTCCACACTAATACGATGTTTTCGATGAAAACGATGAACGTTTTCCATCCTCTTTAAGTGAACGGTAGACGAATATGTATCAAAGGTGTAGACAGGACTTGACTTCACTAGCGAAGTATAAAGCTATTAACTTTTCTTTTTGGGGAATACTGTTCGTTTATAAAGGAGACCAGTTGTTCGGTAGCGTCACTAGTGTAAATTTTTGAAGTAATATATCAAACATTATAGTTCACCACTAAATTTTCTCCGATTCTTATTGGTTTAAACGGATCACGTGACGCGATAGTGTTCATCCGCGGAGAGACACTATCAGCCCATAGTGCCCGTCCGAGGAAAATATCCGGATGGATAGTACCCGTCCGTGAAAATATTTCTGTCAACAAGCGGGCTTATAGAAAGTAAACAATTGAATTTATAATGAGGGTTTTTTTTGTTTTCTTTTCCAAATTTTACGTTTGGCTTTCACGGCTTGCATCTAAAAAAGTTGAAAATAATTCAATATGATTTTTGAACTGGCGCACGGAAGAAAATTTACTGGTGAAGAATAAAGACA